ACTGTACCTCCTTCTGTTCAAATTCAAGTGACTGAGCTCCTACAGTAGTGCCACTGGATTCTAGTGTTGTCGTGGGATTGACAGTGAAGTACCGGGTCAGTGCAGTCGCGACTGTTGATGAAAGACGAGTGTACCACTGGTTCTGAAATTTCAATGATTAAAATAGCCGAGTATACAAAACGAACTCATTGCATCACCTCGACCTTTGAACTCACCATTTTTGCTAATTCAGTGGGGAAATCAGTAGAGTCCGAAAAGGAGTCAATGGGAGCGTTTGTTTGTGGTGGAGAAGTAGGCTGGTGCAGCTGAAGTTTTCGGTAGGCTATGAAAATGCTAGCATGGGTCAGTAAAAGTGGAGCTTTACCTTTCTTTCAAATTGAAGGGACTGGGCATCGTCTACAGTGATGCCACTGGATTCTGGAGTCATCGCAGTAATGTCAGTCATGTACGGGGTTAATGCACTCGCGATCGTCGGTGAAAGATGAGTGTACCAGTGGTTCTGAAATTTTTACTTCTAAAACAGTCAAGTATTCAAAATCAAGTCGTAAAGCTCCCTCGACCGTCGCACTCACTATTTTGGTTGTCTCAGTGGGGAGAACAGAAGAGTTGGAGGACGAGTCAATAGGAGCGACTGTAGGAGTAGTAGACTGGTGCAGCTAAAACTTATGTGATTAAATTTAAAGGATGAAAATGCTGCCCATGGATGGTAAAAGATAGGGCTTTACCTCTCCCTCAAATTTGACGTTTTGGGCATCGTCTGCAGTAGTGCCACTGAAGGCTTGGGTTGTCCTAGTGATGTCGGTGGTGTACGGGGTGAATGCAGTGGCGATGGTTGGTGAAAGACGAGTGTACCAATGGTTCTAAAATTCACAAATGACATTCTAGACCCTTTTCATTTTGGTCAAGTGAAAATTGGCGACTACCTTCTCCTCGATCTCTACGAGTTCAGACGAAAGGGATGGAATGTCCGTGAAGTATGGGCTAAGTGTAGGAAATGGCTTTTCATTAGACGGTGGAAGACCAACTGGTGAAGTGTTGCTTCTGGTATTCAGCTGAAAAAAGATCTTCAGCTTCTTACGTCTAAAGGCGTTCCAAATAGATTAGAGAGCATTCAGGATACCTCATAATTTCGAA